AGATTAAGATCTATGGAAGCTCATGGAAAGAAAATATCTGAAATAATTATAGAGGTTGCATCAGACCCTCTCAAAACACTGTTTGCAAATATGAAGGGAGTAAGGCATCCAGGGATGAAAATATAGGAATCCAAGGCATGCATGCTTATTTCAAATTTTGCACTTAACGTTTCATTGCTTAACAGCAGCAACAACGAAATTGTCTAAAGGAGTCTAGTGCCCCCTTAAACCATTATACAGCTCCAGTGAAAGTACTAAAACGTTCTCCTCTACCCTTCAATAAAATAAAAAAAAAAAAAACCAGTGTTTTCCAAATGTACTTGAATAATTTGAAAAAATGAATTAATGTACTAATGTCTTCTAAAAAATCAATGAAATAAGCAAAATAGCTAAAGCAGCTGATACCTAAAGTGATGTGAGAGCTGTGATCTTCAATTGTACCCGAGTCTCATTCTGCAAAGTATTGTAGATTCAGCGGCCCCAAGATATTTGATACCTAATTCCTATTGAACTGTAAAAGTCCATAGCCTCTGAATCTCAAGACGTGGCAGTAGAATTAAATCCAGGCTTGGGAGCAGGCACTGGGATTGCCAGGGTGAACCTCAAATGGCCCTGATGCTTACAGTGCCTTGGCAGAACATGTTTTATCTGCCATATGGATAGGCCCTAAGTCTCCAGCTAGTCTGTCCTTGCAGTGGTGACACTAAGCAGAAGAAAACTAGTTGGGTACTTCCACAGAAGGCCCCGATGCCATCTCCTGCACAGGCAAATGGGATCTGGCCACAGCTCAAACTGCCTGAGAACAGGCATCCAACGGTAGCATGGATGTCACGTAACCACGACCTCGGGAACAGCCCTGTATTCCTGGGATTGCATTGCCAAGGACAGAGCAGACACAGCGAAAGGACATATCTGCTTCTTTACGTCATCTTGAAGATAGATTCACTTTAAATTCATGAAAACTGATGCTTAATTCCTGCCTGGCCCTCTACCCACCAATGTCCCCATAAGCACAGGCCAAACCAACCGCCTACCTGTCTACTCCCTCTCCTCCCCTGTAGTTCACCTTGGCTAATTCAGGTGGTTTTCTGCTCATCTGCTTTCTTAAGTTTCCTTAAGTTGTGCCTGACTTTCCCTGTGTGTTGCAGAAGAGCCTGTATTCCTGATTCGGGCTCAAATTCACGTTAGACTCAAAGCACAGGGAGGTAGGTACTGCGATGGAAACATATGTTTCATTGCCCTGCATTCCCTTAGCTGACCTAACCCTAAGGACTTCAGCCAGTTTTGAAAATAAGACATTGGTACCCAGATCCCACGAGTACTCTCCCAGATGTTGCCACTGAGGCCTGTGTTGGATGACAGAGACGTCGTCCAACGTCTTTTCCATACGAGGACAAGAAGCTCTTGGCGTGTTCAAGGGAAAGGTAAGACCAAGCAGTAGGTTTTGAAATTTGTTATCAAGTAAGCTTCAATGTGTATTCGGTTTTGCTTTATCTGCAGCACTGTCCTTATAAATTGCCATTGTTTCCTTTTATGAAAGACACTATCTGGAATTGTCTTCCTGAACAAGGTGTGTTGAAATGCCTGTTTGTTTCATGCAGGGTGAGGATTGGTAATTCTCAAGGTGCACACCAATCCTTCAAGGAGCTGCCCACACGTGGGACCAAAGTCAAACTCTTGGCCCCAAGAGACATAAATGAACTATAAAAAAATAAGCAAATCATTTCACAAGGCTTCGTACTTACTCTTTGGTATTTCCCCCTACGGTATCTCTGCCACCCAGTTAAACTAAGAGCTTGCCTCACTTATGGCCCTTTTTAGTACAGACGCACGCAGGCACACCCTAATGCTGGGATTCCCACGCTGAGATCCACAGCCCTGCAGTGCTCTGCAGCTTGTTGAAAGTTATCTGGGGACAACTGCCATACCTGGAATGTGCGGCATGATGTGACTGGCAGCCATGTTTATCCCATTTAAAACAATGAATGCCCCCATGACCAAACCACGGGTATCCTAGGCTTTAAATAGGAGAAGCAGTGCTCACTTAAAAAAAATGGATGGGACAGTGGTAGATGAGAAAGTGGCCTAACCCAGCAGTTTGGTCCAGACAAGAAACAGATAAATGCAAAACTATACAAACCAGGGTTGGAGAAACGCTGTTTGTGGGATTTTTTTTCTTGACTACAAAACTGCTAAAATCACAGCTGCGGAACAAGCCTGCGACTCTAATTGGTTTGTTTCTCCATTGTGCATTGAGACTAAGGTACGCGTATCACTCAGGGAGAGATTTTCCTGGCATTCAGACACGTGGAATTTGAGAACGTAGAGAAGGCAAAGATTAAGTGAGAGATGGACCAGGGGAATTGACTGAAGCACGAATGCTCATTAATGCTCTAGTTGGTTAAGAAAACCCAAAGAGTGTCTTGGGAAAAAATTAATGGCAATTTATATCACAACAGTACTAGGTACTGCAAAACATCAGGTTTCAATACACATTGAAACTTACCTGAGAACTGCCTTCAACGTCCCCTGTTTTCCTGCTCTTTGAAGGATACAGGGGTTGTCTTTAGTCCTACTGTGACACTTCCTGCCAAGCTAGCAGACTCCATAGCCTAAAATTAGAGGACCTGGTGGCAGACATGCATTAAAAATATTTGCAGTTTTAAGGCTTTAAATAAGTAATTCCTGTTTTAATGAAAAGGACAACAACTGTTTCAGAAAAGAACTAACCCCCTTTTCATCTTCTAAAATTTGAGCCAATTCTGAAGTTATATTTCTTAACAAAAATTGCTTCCTAAAAATGAGCCTATATTAAGAACTAGAAAGCCCAAAAGACAATTAATTTTAGAGATGCGTTATAACCAATGAACAGCATTAAAGAGTCATCTGTAAATATCACAGACTTTACTTTTACAGCCACCAGTTATATCATTCTGAGGTACCAAAGCCATCCTGAGGTCCAGGATAATAAAACGATACTAAAATGTTAACCGAGACACCCTCTTTCATTTACGTTAATGAAGTAAGTGACTTGGTTACTACTGGCCCACCACTGTACGTGCTGCCTTCAGAGGAGTGGGATCAGAGAAAGTACTGAAGATCTTAAAAAAGATCTGATAGGAACTTGATATCCATGTTATTAGATCATCTGTCAAGGGGTGATTCACTTTAACTCTTCAGGACACTGGCTCTGAATTCTTCTCGCTTAAGCCATAACTTGACTACGCTTGCTTGCATCACTCCTTATGCCCTAACAAGTACGGTCTTTTGCATTATACTTCACCAGGCAATTTTTTTTTTTTTTCCTGAAGGTAACGTAGATCTGCTGACTGACAAAATATCACTTTATAACGACACACTTTCCATAAATCTTTATTCAAGATGTCTCCATTGTCCATTATTGGTACTCGGGAAGATCTAAAACATCATAATGAATTCCTGTTTTATTCGTGTACTCTAGCTGTCACCTTAATTTCCACAGAAATTATACTGGAATGCATGATACTGTAAATACTGGCATCATGTTGTCACTTCTTTCTTTAAAATCTTTTAAAATGTCAGACTACGTGGAGTAATATATTCAAACGGGTTGTTATATCTGAGCTTTTGACAGAGAAATCTTAGACAGCCTGTACGAACACACTGCAGTAACAACACGTGAGCTAACTTTCCCCATTAAAACAGCTCCAAAAGCCTTCCACGAACAAATTAACAGTCTTCTTTGAAGTTGATTCTAATTATAACACTAGCAAGCAGAAAACATTAATTTAGGTCAGCTCCAACGACTGTTGCTATTTCTTGTCATATCAGAACGTCTCAACTATAGTGTTGAATTTAATTACTGAAGTTGGATGTTTAAATATGTTTTCAATTAGGACTGTGACTGAATTCTGGTGTTGAATGATCTAATTTCCAGTACTAAACTGTTGCATCCATCGTGCACTTTCACACCTCGATACTGTCTCTGTGTTTCTGTGTGCGTGCGTGTAGGTATTGTTGTTATTCTTTTTTCTAACGCCTTGCCAATGGTGCACGCCATGGCGGGGAAAGGAGTGGTTGTTCCTGACGGGAGTAGTAAAAGGTTTAAATAAGCAGCAAGGAACCATTCCAGTTATTTTCAATGAGCCCATCAGAAAAGCGCAGCTCTCGGAACCCTGACTGTCTGGGTACAGGGGCCTCGTAAAGTTGCCTGAGGGACCCTTCCCTCACCTTTAACCGAAGGCCACCGAAGGAGTCTATTTTTACTGCCGCTCTCCCGGCTCTCCCTCATCCAGCCCCCCCAAAACCCCGCAGCTCTCCAAGCCTCCCTTCCTCCCGCACGGAACTAGAACCTCTTCCCTGGGCTCTGAAGTTGAGAGAAGCCGCCTTTCCCGCTCCCGGCCGAGGGGCTGGCCTGCCGGGCCCACCGCGGAGGAGGCGGAGGCGGAGGCGGAGGCTGCCGTCCCCGGCGGGACGCGGCTGTGGGCCGGAGCCGCGGCTCGGGGAGAGGCCGGGAGCGGCCCTCGCCCCCCCGCTGCCGCCCCCCCGCCCCGGTTCCGTGCCGGGCGGTCGTTCCCCGAGCCGTGCGGCTTCTCTCGCCGCGGTGCGGCTTTACCGAGCCACACGCCGCCCGCTCCCTGAGCCGAAACCGCGTCTCTCTCACGCCAGCCCCTTAACCAAAGGCGGCGGACCTTGCCACATCATTGCCCCGACGCGCCCTTATTCGGCGGGTTTGGGGTTTTTTGGTTTTGTTTTTTTTTGAAGAAGGGAGCAGCAGTTCTGCCCGGCTCTCACCGTCCTCCCCGAAGTCCCCAGCCGACAAGGGCGGGCGGGAGGGGTCCCGCACCCCCGCAGCAGCCTTCGCTTTACCCTCTCCCCGCGGAGTCGCCGCGCCACACAAAGGGACCCGCCGGCGGGCGGCACGGCCCTCTCCCCCCCACACCGCTCATCCCCTCACCGTCCCCGCAGCGCCCGGGGAAGGCTCGGGCGGGAGGTCCGAGGCGGGGCAGCACCCGACTCACCAGGCGAGGCTGAGGGCAGGTGTGCTCCAGCTCCTCCATGGCCTCCTCCGAGCGCCGCGCCTCAGAGGGGGATCTCGGGATACCTCTTTCTGACTCAGCATCGGGCGCCAGCACTGGCATGGCCGG